GATGTATTGGAATCACTGTAATTGTCCGCCATCTTGAAAAACGTGCAACATGATACCACTAACCTCGTGATAAGGCATCACAAAATTCAACCCATGGGGGGGCCCTAATTATTGTATTTTAGAATAAATTGAATAAATGTCTATCGAAAACTGACCAATGTGGCTCAAAACGTGAAGAAAGTGGCTTCAAAGAACCTCAAAAAGCCCAAAGTTGCCGAAAATTCTAAAAGTTGCCAAAATTCTAAAAAGTTGTCGAAAATCTCAAAAGTTGCCGAAAATCTCAAAAGTTGCCGAAAAGTTGCCGAGCAACTTGTGGCTAAGCCTACTGCTGATGCAGTCTGGCCAAAGTTCCCCGAACAGTGCTGTGATGCGCATTTGATCATATCCACATTTTAATTTGCACAATATAAATATTAAATTATTATTATTATTTATTTCCTATCCTTTGAGGTGTTCTTATATCGAAGCAGTCAACTGAAATCATTACGTGAAGAAATTACCTAAGTGTTACGCGATCATAGCTTTAAGAATAATATCGATTTGGGCAACGAGCACGAGGCAATTAAAAGAAACAAGAAAAGTAAAAAACTAACGATAGGTTTCGCTTTGAATCACAACTACGAGTTGACATAAACACAAAATAAATTGTTGCTTGCCAACGTTCGCGGATCTTGATTACTTTATCGAGGATTACTGTCTAACTTGTCTTCTAGTTTAGAAACGATCTTGATTACACGAGGTCTTATCCTTAACTGAAACGCTAGCTATAATTTTCTGTTTAAAATGAACTAACCACGGAGGCGTTAATAAAACCATAAAATATTTCGCAGCTTCTTTCGGAAGCGGCAACGTTTAGCTTTAACGGAAGCGGTTACACACAGTCTGACATTTTAAAGCCAACTGAAGATGTTTATTGGTTTTCAGATATGGAATAATCCTCTGTTAGCATGGAATAGCAGTGAGTTTGGGGGATTGACAACAATTAATGTGGCTCCGAAGAATGTTTGGCTCCCAGATCTTGTTCTGTATGAAAAGTAAGTTTAATCTCTGGCTTAACGAAGCTAAGAGTCACATGGCATGTGGTTGTACTGGACTCGCTTCAAGTAGTTCTAGCTACTCAACCCGGAACTGTTGTTCTTTTATTGAGGGCACGTGCACCAATTGTAACTTATGTATCAACTTACCACGTTTGCAATGGAATTTTATCACTTTTTAACTAAATAATTATAAATTCGTCAATATCATGATTTCAAATATCAGGTTTTTTGGAACTAAGCGATACTAAATTCATGAATAGTGTACATTATATTTCTTATTTTATTGACCTGTTCTCAAAATGATTGCAAAGTTTAAAATAAATTTTCAACCCTCGTAGTATCCCTGCTTTAATATGTCTTATTTTGTATTTGGAATGTTCTTTTAGTGTCCACAAATAGCTCATATATAGCTAAATACCCTGACAGTTAAATAAAGTTCATTCATTCATTGTATTTCGTGCTGTCATTCACTGATCATGAACTGGCCTCATTGGTTTCCATAGGTACCTGCCTGCCCTCGAAAAATGTTATTTTTTTCTCAAGTTCTGGGTATTGATTTTCGTTGAGTAGGCGGGGAAAAAATTATCATCCTTATTTACTTCTGTTTACAGCATCACACAATTTCTCGATATTAAATGGCAAAGAAAAATCCAAATGGGAGAAGCCTTGTTTTAAGTTAGTGCTTAAGGTGGCTGAACACAGTTTTCGCGTGCACTTTTGCTGATGCAATTCAGCACGCGCACAAGGATTGCAAAAAAAACAAACATGACGTCAACAGCACGGTCATTTCATTTACTCCACAAGTACCCGCACTATCTGTGCTATTTTTCTCTACAGTAGGCGCAGTGTATAGAGGGCTGTAATCTTTTATTACAAGGATATGTTAGAAAAGTCAACGGTGCAAAGAACCCAGCAATTCTCAGCTTTTTCGTCGTTACCGAAAGAAACCAGTTAAATGCAGCGCATGCGTAGTAAGTCAAAAAATTACGACTAAATGGAAAATTGCTTTCTCGGAAATATGACCATTTCTTGAGAACCACTCGTTAGAATTTCACGAAATTTGGCACGAAAATACTTTAGGAAATAAGTAACTGGAGTATTGAAAAAAAGTGATTTTAAACAAAGGAAATTCTAGAAAATCGAGTGAACCTTCAACAAGGGATAATGAAAGATCTCTCTGTTAAATTGTTAGCAAAATGGTGTTAACTTGTGAGTATCGTTACATGCTCGCTGCATGCAAATTATAAAGAAAATCTAAGGACTAGATTTTCTACAAAGCAACAAAAGCGATTTTAATTGCCTATTTATATCTCTTCATGTCGCTATGGCAACGGCACATACGTCAGCTTAACTATCGAAAAAACAAAGTTTGCGTTGTTAAATTAACTTGCTTGGTGCCAATTTTGGCGACCGAGAGAGCAAGAGTTTTAGAGAAAATGGTGAAAGAAACAAAGGTATCAAAAACTGTGTTCGGCCACCTTAAGATCTTTTTGACAGCGAACTTTCCCTTTGGGTTTGATCATATTATATTTCAATCATATCGTTTTATTTTTTAATAGCGCCGACGATGATATTAGCTTTGGTGGCAACTTGGACCGCATGAACTTCCGAGTGGTCCTTCATTACTCGGGAAAAAACGTATGGCTTTCTCCAGTCACCTTCAAGAGTAAATGCCGCATCGACATCAAGTATTTTCCATTCGACACACAGAACTGTAAAATGAAATTCGGTTCTTGGACTTACGACGGCTTTCGGTTAGATGTCATGAACGAGAGCACTTCGGCCGACCTGGGAAATTACATCGAGAGCGCCGAATGGAAGTTGGTCGGTGCTCCTGCAATGCGCAACGTTGTGACGTACTTTTGTTGTGAGGAGCCTTTCCCAGATGTGACGTACACGATTATCATCCGGCGACGGTCGCTGTTCTATTTGATGAACTTGATATTACCGCTGGTCATAATCACAGTGTTGATAAATGTGTCCTTTGTCCTTCCTGCAGAATCAGGTAACTGCATGGATCTAGGTGGAAAACTTTGTATAACATGTCGGTGTTCTTGATGCTTGCTATTTGAGCCGATTTCAGGAAAACCCTTTCATCTGTTAACCAATTCCACTTGGGAATGACCAAAAAGGGATTTTCTCCTCACAGTTTTGATACACTTTTAATAAAATCGGTGGCACAGGTTTGAGGAAAAATAACTATCGCTTGAGGGTATTCAACAGGTTTTTCTTGGAGCTAAGATTATAAGAAATACAGAGTAGAAAAGGAGGAGAATTGAAAGATTTTTCCACAACCAAGGCCATGGCTCTTGCCAAATCTGAACAGTAGTTGGAGACGAGCCATTATTTATCAACTGGGTGGTGGTGGTGGTGGGGGGTTGGGGATCACATGGTGTCCAAGGGGAACAGAAGGAGGATCAGCCATCTCTAGATTTTAAAGGAGGGACTATAGAAAATTAACCACTAATGTGGGGGGGGGGGGAGGATGGGTCATCAGGATGCTATAATTCGTTATGTGGGGAATATCTACATCTTCAGACACCCAACGCCCCGTCCCTGAGATAATAAAAAATTACTTGTCCCTTACATGGCATTGCGAGTATCATCCCAATGGGAGAATGACCAAATGATAACGCAAATATTATTCTCGGTGGAAAGTGTTCCATTTGCCGACTAAGCAGAATTTTTATGTAAATATCTATCTAAAGTTAACTCTTGGTTCCTTGCTCTTCACAGGTGAACGTATTTCGCTCACAATTACCATGCTTCTTGCTATGACAGTTTTTATGTTGGTGGTGGCGGAAACAATTCCTCCGTCTTCTGATGTAGTTCCACTCATTGCCAAATTTTACATGGCTGGTATGGTTGAGATGGCCATAGGCTTGGTGTGGACCTGTTATATTTTGAAATACTACCATTCGGATGTCATCGAGATGCCATCGTGGGTTCGGAAGTACGTTCTCGGCCATCTCGGACACTTCTTCGGAATCAGTATGGAAAATCTTAAGCGCATCCAGGAACACTCAAACCTCCGCAAAGATACGGGTCGCAAGGCAATTATTCAAACTGGTTTGGAACCGGCCGGGAGAAAGATCACGAATACACTTTTTGTGCCAAACGGCCAAAGCAAAAACCCTTATGATAGCCATTATGATAGCCATTATAGACGTATTCCTTCAGCAACCAACGGTTTCTCATCACCGATGCTGAATGCATCAGATATCTCTTTAAACCAAATAGACGGTTTCCAGGATCCGGTTCTGCAACTTGGAGAAAGGATTCTTGAGAGAGTTGACACCCTTGTCGAGAACTCTGTTGTTGATGATAGGATTAACAATCACAAGGAGGAATGGCGTATCGCCGCCATGGTGATGGATAAGTTGTCCCTCTGGGTGTTTGGAACCTCGGTTCTTGTCACTGTGCTGGCGTGTTTCATGCAGGCACCAGGTTACGTTGCATGATTCGCGTTGAATAATAGAGAGAGCTGGTTTTCAAAGAAGTGTCTTTGGAATCAAACTTTGTCGTATGCATTTTTGCCTTTTTCTGTGCAAGTTGGTCAGTTTTTCCATGATTACAATGGGTATATTGTATTGTAATACTTCAAGCTACAAATGCGACTTTTGCCTGAATCGGGGTGGAGGGGGGGTGGTGGTGGATGTATTCTTGTTGATTCAAAGGGTTCTTGAGTCTTGACTTGAGAATCTCGTTACTTAGCAGTAAAATGAATTAAACTGAGCCACACGAAGGAGGTTGTACTCCACTGAACGGCTATCGTTGCGTAATTCATGAAGCCACTCACTTTGCTCGTTTATATGTGAAGTAAGATGCTACTATTCAGATAAGCGCTTCCCTCTTCGGCGAGAAGATGTGTTCCCTCCTTGTGGTTTTACAGGCACGTGATCCTGTTGGCGATACTAATCACGTGGGTAATTATCCCATCCCTTTTTCAGGTAATTTGTAGGAACGTTGGGTGTGCATAAAAAAACTTAGGTACCAATTTTGCCGCTTTTAAAACTCAGGATCGTCTTTTCCCCTTGATGCACAGTTTATGCTGTTTTCAACGAGCCGATGTTATATTACGAAAAAACGGTTACATCTTGCAATGAGTTAAAAAAATTTGAAAACGCGCTTTTCCTGGGTTTAACACTCCTTGTCTTAACCTAGATTTGAAATGAGAATTTAGTGTACCTGTGTTTTTGCATAAAACGAAAGGGAGCATGTTTCGCCATGTTATTTTTTATGATGTAATAGGTATTCAATTTAATAGCTTGCTAGAAATTGCAATAAGTTTGCCGATACAAAACACCAATAGATTGTATGACTGTTGAATATGAACTATTTATCACACTGTATAGTTATCAGGCCGCTCATACTCATCGTTTCCTATAATTTGCCTCTTTATATTAAATACACTAATTTTGGACATTGATGTTAACAGAATAGCAGAGTCTGTGGTGGCCTTCATCGTTCCAGTCTTACCTTTAACAGATGAAATATGATTCAGAGAATTTTATAAATTTAGTTAAAGTAGATTTGCTCACAGTGTGAGTATGATTACGTGAGAATGTGTGTGCGTATGTAAAATAAACCCGTCGAAAGTAGTTCGGAATGAAATGTGCCCAGTTTGGTTTGGTCTTCATCATTGGTCTAAAAAAATTCCCGCCACCCTTTCAACCAATCAAAAGCAAATTAAAACTTGAACTCTCATTAGGAAGGGGGAATGGCCGGGGGCAATGGTGAGAACGCTCGCTTCCCACCGCTGAGGCCCAAGTTTGATTCCTGGCCTGACGTCACAGGTGGGTGGAGTTTCTTGTTGGTTCTCGTCCTTGCTCTGAGGGTTTTTCTCCCGATCCTCCAAATGTACTCCCTCCACATAAACCAACCTCTCAAATTCTAATTCAACCTGGAAACAGTAGACAAGAGGAGCCACCTTGTGGAACGTCTACTGCTAAATTTCCATCATTAATATTATTATTATTATTATTGTTATTATTATTATTATTATTATTATTATTATTGAGAAGAACATTTGAGAGATTCGATACAGACTTTTTAATTGACAATGCTATGGCAATATAGGCTAGACATTTTTAAAATTTGTTTTTACACTTTGTTAGTGTAAGAATGTCATTCCCTTCTCATATACTTTTTTAATGTAATTTACTTTTATAAGGATAATTTCGATGCACGTTTTCTGAAATTCTTTCAATACGAACTAGTAGTTGCTTTCGCGATTTTTATATGTAGGTCGTTTTTATTATCAAAGTTAGTTTGGGTCTGATACGAGTCTGATCCTAGAGAACCGAATTATTATGATTATTATTATTGTTGTTGTCATGATCGTTACTGACCGAAGCGTGTATCCAATAGCTTTTCTTAGACTTTTATCAGACATTTTAAGCCTTTTAACATGATTTTTGTCAATTTTTAGTGATTATGGCAAATAAAGGATTATTATTATTATCAAAAAATTATTATTGTTATTATTATTTCCACGCACTAAGGCAGTTTGCTTCATTCTTCACTTTGATTGACCCTTCTGATCACTTTGCTTCGTTTTTCCGTGTTTCGTTATATTTTATTTTTTGTTTTGTTCTGAAGGAGAGGAGACCTTAGTGAGATACAGTCACAGAAGTGGTTGAAAGAAAATAATGGGGCGATATTTTCTCTTGCAAATGTTCATCAACCAATTCCCTCTAAGTTTGGTTTGATAAATATTTTTAACACTGTGAATGCTTTACAAGTACGTCAATATAACATTTAGCAGTGGTTTTTAACCAATCCCCGAGAACATGTATTGAATATGAATAAATTAGATGACCTTCTTGTGATGTCATCTTTGTCAACTGTACTTAACCAATTGTGTGAAAGACATGAAGAAATTCGCATGATTTAAGACGAGTTGTGAAATATTGAGCCTCGAACGTTTGTCAACACGTTATCATTTGTAGTGCTGGTTCTCTTCATGTTGACAAATCATTAATATCCTAAGAATTTTAATTTCTTCCTTCGATTTCTTTAGGAAGCCAACAATGTAAACAATATTAGCCAGGAGGGGTTCTTTGCGTTGACGAGGTCGACTTCGGTAAAAAAATTCAAGGAATTCTCAGAATCGAGGCCAGTATCCCTCGACTTAAACGTAAAAATAGAGTTTCCGAGGAAGCCCTTGTGATTAAGTGTTTCTAGAGAGTTTGCAACTTTAAGTTGTTCAAGAGCTGTGATAAAAATAGTTCAGTTCACCACATTTAGTTGATTATTACCGACCTTTTGCTTGGAGGAAACTAGGAAGAGCCTCTTCTTTTGGACGTTATGCTTTTACTCGTGATTTCGAAAATGTGCTGTGAACAATTGAAAAAATTGGCATTTAGACGTACATGTTCCCGGTGTTATCAGTACAAACAATGGAAATTTCTTTTCTGGTCCCTTCGCTTGGTTTAAGAGAATGCCGATATCAAAAGCACTATAAAACTAAAAGAAGATATACATATATATTCAATGGCTCGTCGGCAGAAATTGTCATTTCTTGAAAACGTGTAGTTCCAACTCGCGATTATATCAGCAGCAGCAGATTCCTTAAAAAACAGAGGTCATGTCCATTAAGTCTGAAAAAATTCCGCTTAAGGCAAAGTGATTGTGGTGTTGTATAACTGCACTACCATATCCAACCGGGATGTCCTTCCCTCGTAAGAATACGAATATTGATGCGGTGGTGCATCGTATTTCTATGGCCCGGAATTTGTATGTGAGCAGAACCCTGTGTCTGGGTTGTCCTTCTGTATTGGCTAAATTTGCTTCAGGCAAATAACGGAAGAATATTGTTTCCTGATGTGATTATGCCCTCATTATTTGAAAGGCCGCGTCAGGTCTTTTGACTCTTGAGAGATTTAACCTAAACTTTTCAAGTCAAGTTCCTCATTTTTATCCGTGTCAGTCCATCTTCTCTTTACTTGACCCTTTCACTCTCAAATGTGACCAAGATACAATCTCTCTCTACAGTTCCAGTGCAATGTCAAGTAGCCAAGTGGTGAGAATAGCGGAAAATGTTAACCAGGAGATTATCATTCGAAATCCAGCAGCAAATTCTCAGAATAAAATTTATGAGAAATATACAGTAAGGAGTAAGGAAAATTTTCACCGAAAATTTTCACCGAAAATTTTCACCGATACTGTGAAGACCAACCAGACACCCTACTGAAACCACAACTTACACAGGGACTACGAACACACTGGGAATAATTCACTTACAGCCTTTCATTTAATTTTTATGACATGACGCATTACTATACATTCAAGTATACAACACAAACTTTAACATGCACATTCCGCGTATACGGCACAGGATAAAATACATACATGTTCCTTCCTAATCTAATCACCGCTTCTTACCTTTCCTATATTACAAGACTGTTATTTTTGTGGTTTTCCCACGACGCAAAATATAGCTCCTTCAAACCCAGAAACGTGACTTTTCAACGTTCCGCGTGTGGTATTAATTTAGATCTTTCATGTCTGTTGGAGAAAAATTGTTTATGTGTGTGTGTTTTTCAGTCTACAACATCCACTAGTACTACATCCGGAAACACAGAAGCAAACATTTTATGAAATGTTCGACGGTGGCTTTTTATGCCTTTTATACGTCCATTATAACTACGTTTTACATTCGAGATAAAACTCAGTTGACCTTGCTTTTCTTGGCCCGATAAATTACATCCACTCCATTTCTTCCTGTTGCGATCACAATATTACGTTTCAGGTCCAGAAACGTGACTTAAAAACGTCTAGTGTTTTCTGATTGGTGCCTGCATTCCAAACCCTAAGCTGCGCTTTAGTTCTGTTTTGTATTTAATTCGTTATTTGTTTGGTGCTGGCTCAACGCCCCGGACGCGAAAACAGAAAACAGATTGAAATGGCAAAAGTTTCCTTGCCAATCTGTAGATATCACGAGCTTTATCTCACTAGTACATAGAGACCACTTAAAAATATCGACAAAACTGCTAAAGGAACGTCAGCTGATTGCTTTCCACTGTACATGAAAGACAAAAAAAAAAAATAAAATAAAAATAATAAAAAAAAAAAATTATGAAACAAAACAAAACCAACCGGAAAAAAAATCAACGCCGACACAATAGTTTTCTCGAAGATTTTCCCGTTTCCTCTCCGATGCGTTTTCCACAGTGGCCGATCCAAACCTTTATCTAAGGGACGTTGTTCCCCCGCTGCTATCGCGGCGTTTATTTTTGCGTTCCGCTTGCTAATTGAACTCCTGGAATATGAATTGTTACAAATGCGTACAAACTCACATATTCTGACCAATTTCAGTGGCGGATATAGACCTCGAGCCAGGGAGGCCCCCGTTTTGTGTGTGTTCACCTACCGGCTTTCTTCCCTCTCCGCTTGTTTTTTTTCTTTTTTTTTTACCCAAATTAAGGGGGGGCCGACCCCTCTTGCCCTTCCCTGGATCTGCCACTGAATTATATGTGCAACCACCCACAATTCTAGTAGGACTCTTTCAAGTTCGGTTTAACATTCCGTTGACTACGTGGTAGAGTCCACTAATACTCAATTTCTACTGAGACTCACTAACTGCTTTGACAAAATTAACGACCACAAACTACCCATGCATTTATTTCGGATTGCAAATTACGCCCGCTACTGTTTTTTTTTTTTTAATTGAATTACAAAATGGTATACGCGAAGGGAGCTAGGTTTTAGAAGTTCAATATTCCATGATACATCGCTCACAGCTATTTTCACTGATGTGAGCTTAAAATCACATCGTTTCAATGCCTACGTACTTGCTTCTTGAGTAATAGCCCTGTATATATATTTTATTCGAGTAAAAAAAACCTCGTTCAAAGCGCGGTATGATAAATTTGCTTCAAAAAACATGAGAAAAACATCGCTTAGAAAGCGGCGAGTTTGGCTGCCGTATGAACATTGAATACGTTCAAAGTGATCTTATCGGCTTAACTGCAGCTGTTATGGCTATGTGCGTGCGCTCTTACCAGCTGCAGGTTTCTCCAGCTCGTTCTGGCAGCCGTCACAAGCCCCCAAAATATTGAACCACAATAGGTAAAAACTCTTTTAGCCAGCGTCGCGGTATAGACTCTGCGATCAGAAATAAACATCCACGCGCAAAGGAAAAAACGATTCGATAGAATTAAAATACTGCCAAAAGCTTAGCAATATTTAATAATGTATATTCCCGATTGAAAACGCTCCGTTTGAACACTGACGGGTTCGGTACTGTATGTTTGATCTCCGCTCGTCTAGATGAATTGGCTGGAAAATACATACCAACTCCGCGAGAGAGAGCCAAGGACCCGGCCAGATACCCACATTATGGCTTGCTAGACCTCACAGGGTGCTAGATAACCACCTTTTCTCGTATGTTTTTCGGGTGAGCGGGATAGTGTAGCGCTGAATGCAAAAGTCTGGAAAAAAAAAAGGAACCCCTAATCGCAGATAAGGTGCTTAACAGACCTGATTACTTCTGTGAAATCTGCGTCAAGCGGTGTAAGCCAACACCCAATGATAAAAGACTTAGCAGATTTCGCAACGATATTTGGCTCTTAATCGCCCCAGAAGAGAGCTATAGACGAATATTTATCAAGTTAAGCTAGATAGTTCGGTTTGTCGCTGGAGCAAATCTGCAACGTTTCAAATCTGGCCTTTTCGGGAAAGATTATCGGAATAAACGTTTTTTAAGGGAACAATATAATCCAAATCCGGAATAAAATACAAATCACAAATTTCTCATGGGGCTGTGCGCCACATATAGTTTTTAAGCAAGAGAGGGTTTGCCTCCGCTGAAAAGACCTCTTTTGAATGGCGGACATAAATCGACATGATTATTTTTCTTTCAGGTGAACGCAAATTAGCCTTCTTGGCCTCGCTTAATTTTGTTGCTTTTTAACATGCTGTTATGACCAGAAAGGCTAAGTTACTTGGATGAAAAAGGATAAGAAGAAGACCCGCCATTTAAGAAAGAGCTCTACAGATGAACGCAGAATACGAATACCAGTTCACTCTTAAAAAATATCGGAAGAATAATTTGGGACTTGCAATAGTTTCCGTCGGATGCAGGACGCTTGATTTAAGAACTTCGCTGTACAGCTTTTACGATAGTCCTGCTTCTATCTCAACAGGCCGCTATCCAACGGCCGTGAACGCGTTGATAGATTCCTAAATTGTTCTATTTAAAAAAGGGTCAGTAAAATCATGTTTGTAACAAATAGCCAGAATTGTTCAGGTGGACAACGCAAATATATTACACGACTCGGGCAGTCAGAGGGCCAATAACTAAAATCAACCAATCAATGATGCTCTATTGCCGGTCAATATTCTCTCAGTATTGGACCGGGCACTGTCCCGAATGGTCCCGAATGATACCACACTTGTGTCCCTTTGAACTTCAGTCGTATAATAAATCTCTTATTAACCAAGCTTGCTCGGGACCGTACTGGAAGAATATCGGCCCTCGGTCTTTTTTGTACGGACCGAGCGCAGCGAGGTCCGTACTGTCAAGACCTCGGGCCGATATTCTCCCAGTACGGCCCTCGCGCTTGGTTAGTTAAATATATATATTGTCCCCAAGATCAGATGTCAGACGACTCTAAGTCAGGGCTTCCATAATTAACACGCTGTCAAGAGTCTTAAGCTTGAAACAAAAAAATCAGAGTCCTATTTCAATCCTAACAGGTTATACAGCGGCCGTGAACCCGTTGATAGTTTCGTAAATTGTTCCAATTTCAAAAAGGTAAAATCCTATTCATGAAAAATTTCTATAGCTGGTCCGGTAAGACAGAACAAAAATATACTGTCTCCAAGAGCGGACGACACGCTGCCAAGAGCCTTAAGCTTGAAACAGAGAAAGGCTTGAAAAAGGCGTCTGCTACCCCAGACAATAGCAGAAGGAATTTAGTGGTTCAATCAAGCCACTCCTTTCCGAAAAAAATGTTCAGTGACCATATCGAACCAAGTCTGCTTACAGAGCTTTACTCTCTCTCCCTCTCTGATAATCTTTCAAAGCCTTTGTAAAATAAGAGTTAGGGCGGATTCAAACGAACGTGATCTAGCATGGGGTCAGCGGGCATGTGAGGGAGGAGGAAACAGATGGAACGTTATATTGTTTTTGTTCGCTTCATCGATAAACCAAACAGAGAAGGCGACGAATTGAAAAAAAAGTGACAATAGACAGGCAATGTCAAACAGCTCTCGAAGTATAAGGTTTTCTATATTTTTTACGACTTCTTTTATAGCCATAGTTTGTCAGATTTTGATTTTGAAACAAAAATACCTTTGAAAGCACTAAATCAGCATGCTTGCACAAGTTCAATTGCGCAACCACTTTAAGGTGTAAAAATATCCGCCAGCCAAATGCAAGCTTCCGGTTATTGTTCTTGGGGTTTTGTGAGCCGTACACAAAGGTGATCCAGTTGAAATTAGCGAATGTAATTATTTTGATCTGCCTCCGTGTTTATAAGAAAATTTTGCTAATTTGACTATTAATGCCAGAATGTGTCCTGTCTCGATATCTTGAGGTCACGAGTTGTTTTGACCAACTGACTTATGCGAAAACCAAAAGGGAAAAACATACGGATCCTATGACATGATGCCCGGCAGTAATCTAAAGATGTCTTCGTGTTCCCCGGGGATTGCACAAATCTCCTGGAAGTATTCCACATCTTTGATTACTCAAACAAGATAAAATGTTTCCTTCTGAAAGTCTGCTAAAACTGTTCAACCCATACGTTAGAGGAGTCGTTTTTTGTTGTTAACATGAACGCCTCTACCCTCGCGAGCTTTTTCGGTTTTATCTTGAGCTAGGGCTGTATAATGCAAGGAAACTCCTGATTGATTAAAAGGAAAACGAACAAACAACAGCTGTAGAATCCGGAACATAGCCGCCCTTTTTAATTGTTGTGGGTGGTGAATAAAGAGGAAAGCTACTCCACGAACACCTTCGAGAATATCGGCACGTGAGTTTTTGTTGAGGCATCGCAAGTGAGCAACAGTAACGGTAATCCGACTCACTGAAATTTCGATCAGATTACTTACTTTAAGACTCTTTCTGTTTCGTGATGTCAGGTCAGGAATATTACGTTTGTGTGAATTACAGCCTCGAAATTCCTGTTTACACGGCATTCAGGAAACACGTTCGCAATCTATTGTACGAAAAACGCGCCAAAGACCTGTCCTCAAGACAACGGTTGTGACAGGCAGGCGAATCTATTTCCCGCTTTATGTTTTGCGACGCACAGGAAGTTCGAATTTCGTTCATCGGACTACACAGACATGAATATGTTGATCGCAGCTGAGTGGAAGCATAATTTTGCTTTTTTTTTCTACTTGAAGAACAAGGCAGAAATTTGAAAATGATTACAATAGAAAGACGACCAGATTAAGTAATGCCTTTTTTTGTTGCTTGTTAAACCTCCTACAACCGTAACCGTAATATCCCTTGAGCGTGGTGTGACATGTAAAAGCACTAAGCCCAGCATGCGATGATATCGATCTTCCTCCCCACTACAGAGATATGATATTGATGTTAATCACTTCTTATCGTGTGAAAAAATAGTTCGGAATGCACTGGAACGCAAAAATAGCGAGGCCAACAGCTGCAGCTCTGTTCTCGTCCGCCGAGCAAGCGAGCCAAAATAAAACCACACCTCCAACCGGATTTGATTGTTCTCTTGTTACGTTGTAGCTCTCTTTGTTTGTAATGTAGTAATTACGATGTTTCACGGAAAACTACCAGATCTGTCATGCAAAGTCTGTTCAGATTTATTATTTTACAAATTATATTTACAACAATGTCAATCTTGTGGCAAGTCATTAAAATTCTTATTTCTTGACAGTGAACGAAACTTTCAACGTCAAATACATGAACTGTAACATCCATGAACTGTTAAGAATTACATCGACTATTCATGGCTAAGAATAAATTATTCTCCCAAAGGGAATCGTGTTTTCCTTTTTGCTATCTTTTCAGCCAATATTTCGGCATGTCCATAACTTTCTGAGGCTTGCTGCTTCTCGCTTCACCTCCTGATAGTACAGTCTGTCAAATCTGCGTTAACCACTTGAAGTTCGGGTAAAGCGTTCAGTTGCTCTAATTCCATCTCGAGGATTAAAGATGTTAGGGCATCGTCGTCGGGAATAACTAAGTCGCATCCAGACGAATTAAAGCTGGTTAAGTCTCTATCTTGTACCCCGAATTTTCCACTCTTATGAACACAATGTGGAATAGGATATGCGTTCGAGTAAGTAAAAATGCTTCCTTCTGAGCATCTGCGAGTTGGATTTCCACTCGTACATGAAAAGGGCCCAGGACTTGAAATAGGTCTGGTTAAAGACGGAGTTGTGGTTGTAACGGCGATATTATTCAGTACCAGAGCCATCTGTTCTGTTTTGCTCCGAGCGTCACGCTGATGTGTACGTTCTCAACGGTGGTCTGAGTTGTTGATCACGAAATTCAAACTCTCCTTTATACCCGTCACAATTGACAAACGAGCTATTAATAGAAAGTTACCGCAAGGTCAGATGAGGGCAGCCACAGTTTCGTCAGCCACGCAGATGGAAATCGAGATGGCAAATATTTACCTGTCGTTGAGGGATATCGATAAGGAAATGTGAACTCGAAGCAGGTAATCGCGGGTTCAAAACGTGCCTGTGTAAATCACACGATTGAAGTGAGCGCTCAGATCAACAATGCGCGCTTAGATCGAGCAGTGACACCTCCAACGTCATAATCTTCTCTTTATCGGTGGTCTTGTTCCAGTTTATTGATATTCCATTCGCGGTGTTGAGAGATTTTAGTAATTGTTCTTCGTGTAGAGATTGTAATCTGACTGTTGCATAACAGTTATGGTATTTCACGAGCAGAATATTCGCTGCCCTTTGATGTCGCCGACGAATTGGAAGGTGGGATGTTCGAGTGTTTTGTTTCGAAACGGACGTTTCTCTGCTCACAAACACGTTTTACGCACGAGTCTTGTTTTAGATTTGCCCTCAAGGCTTTTGAATTAATCATCAGATTTGATACAATTTCAGGAAGCTTCCATTTACGTGACAACCAGTGCAAGACTTTTTCTGGGTTTCTTTTCAGTGGCATGTTTATTGTAAACTTTCTCTTGGGATTTTCTTTTTTCTTTTATTTGTTCAATTAACAAGTCCTTCCTTTGTATTGCAAAACCCTTGCTTCCATATCTTGTGGCCAGAGCTTATCGATGCCTTCGCTGTATGACATGATAACAAAAGAGGTACTGTACTTCATATTTTGCGGGCGAAATCATCAGAATTTGAGATAGGCAACGTCAGATAATGACGTTATTTCAAAACAGCTTCCTCAAGAAAAAATATTTCATATTTCTCTAAATATGTTATCATGCTTTCTGTAAAAAAAAAAAACTGAAATTGTATATGATTTTCTCGGCAGACGATTGGTTGCTGATACCTATCATGCAAGGAAACGTTTCATCGATATTTCAAGTAAAACGAATATGGTATGTTTTTCTTCCGTCTGTGCGTTACGCGTGATGAGTTCCATCCAAGATTTACGTAATTGAAGAGCATTGCGAAAACAAGATTAACGTCGTAAGGAAGGGCTTAGCATGTTTTAACTAAGAATACCCTCTACTTAGCGCACTTTCTATTCATGTCTTTCAAACAAGCACGTTATATTCTTGTTGTACTGTGCGCTTTTGAACGGGACTACGTGTCATAACAACATCCTTCATTGCTGTTCATTGAAGTGCTCAGAAGATTATGTGACCTCATTCAATCTCTTCAAAACACTCACATATTTGCATAATAGTCATAATCTGAGATCACCTCGCCTAAGTCATATTTCGAAACGAGAAAAGTACGCTTCGAAAATTCACTAAAATTTCCCCACGTCATTTTTGTATAATCTGCCACTTTGAGCGAAACTGTTGCGTAGGCACTTCATCTGCGAAGGGTTTCCCGACAGAAACAGCTCCATTACATTACTTGTTTATCGACTGGAAGGGTTTACGAAATTGTAATTTTTAGACCAGTCATTAGACACACACATTTGCACAGGATTTGACAATGGTATGAGTCTGAAGCTTCCTGAGTACCTCTGCGGCTTTCGTGTTTTGGAAAGCGAAAAACCCAACGGAAACCACACGAAACTGAAGGTCCTCAAGGGAACAATTGTGGAAAGTGTCAGAATTTAGACTCCGGTATTGAAAGAATGCAAGTCATTAAATTATATTACACTAATATATTCGACGTTTATTTTCTTTCGATTACAGGAACAACGCCAAAGACATTCCTCTCAGTGTTAAAAAAGCCATCCATCTGTTTGCTTTCCGTTATTTCGACAAAACATGTCAAAGGAGCCACAAGGGACTTCTTCCTAGTTCGTGTTGGTATGAGAACAGCTGAAACCACAGATAATAGAAAGAACAGATTTCGTCACATCCGGCAGTTGATTCTAAATTCAGCGCGGGTAGAAGTATTAGTGAGTTCATGAACTTAAATTTGTCTTCTGTAAATGCATTCCTTTTGCAAGCCTCGTTTTCTTCTGAAAGGTCAGCCAAGAGATCTTGCATATATTATCATTGAAAAGAAAAAAAAAAATTCGTCTTCACCTTCAAACAAACTTTCGGAAATACGCTGACGGCTGTGAGGGTTTCTTTGAACGCGAATACCATTCTTTGAACCGTTGAAAAACCGAGTGAAAATCAATTAACTGAACAGAAAATAAAACAAAACAAAACAAACACGAGAGTAAGGTTCGAAACAAGTGTTGAAACCGAACAACTTCATCATAGCTCGAGGTTCATAACCGCTTCGGGGAGTTCTAATAGGAATAAGCGATTGCGAAACTTTTTGTCAAAACTGTCTTAACGATATTATTCAAGTGCACTCGAGATAAACACTTTTGGACAGGGCTGATTTAAATAATTGTTTTTCAATCAATATGAACGTGTCGAAGTTTGCTATTTCATGAATTCCTACAGCAAAAAGAAAAAAAAACGCTTGAACCATGCAATCCAGTAATTTGGTATGAAAATTCTAAATCGATGAGGTTCCTTGCATTATTCTGAGGAACCCCAGAGGAGGTGTTTTTTCAACACGTCATAACAAAGAATCCTCAAGATCACTTTAAAAGGGTGCAGTAGTTTGAAAAGCGACTCACCACAAACCCTCGACACACTTGATCTTTTATTTCCTTTGCTATGAAATTAGTTCGTGACGTCAGTTCTTGTTTTCACGTCATGCTTGACCGGGAAGGGCTTGGTGACACCTGCTTAGTTGCACGTGATCTCTTTCACACATGGTATAAAGTTATAGTCATTTCGTTTTATCATTCATTGAAGAAAAGCGGAACATACCAAGTTTGTCGCGTCATAAACCTTTTACACTAGTTACCCCGCTTCAGAGGAAATTCTATGGGGGTACTGAAGTGACACCATGACAAAGCAACAAACCGGCTAAAAATAAAATCACCCAAATATGTATCACGTTCTGTGGATGACAGAATGCAAAAGTGTCGTCCGTTCGCTTTTAACTTTTTATAACCCTGTGCGCCCTAACATCAGTTTCCATATTCTCCATATCCCTCCTTCCTTTTGTACTCACGGGGAGAATTTATTTGACAATCAAAGCTTCTTAGGTTGACTATCGTTTCCCTGTCTCTATTTTCATGACCTTGATGCGATACGGTTGGGAGAAATTAATGCTTATCACTCTTAAGGAGAAAGGATTTGAGAGCGTGCAATCTTCCTTTCTTGTTGAATGGGCTTGAGCGGTGCGTCAGTATTTGAGACACGTTCAAAAATCCGGGTGACACAGCCAACTCGTTGTCAAGCAAAGATTCCTTATAAGGAAACTATATCAAGATAAACGGATTTATTTACGGTATGTACCGTTAATTTCCTTTTAAGCGCAAAGTGAACCACAAAGTATTGGTTTGGCATCCCGACAGCATAAGTCAAGGTTTATCCTGCGCCGCGCCATTCCTTTGAGAATTCCATGTAAGGATAGCCGGCGCAAAATGCCAGTCTAAACTTGAAATTGTTTGTGGAGTCATCTTGATCCTCTTACAATGCAGGTCGTGAAAAGTCGTGTACTTAACCCCTTTTGTTGAAATATCCAGCCAAAAGCCGCTGAGTAGGAAGGTTTGCGCCAAAAAATGATTTCACATGTTGTTAGTTTGATATGTTTGTACTCGCCAAAGGTATACAGTTTTGGGCGCGAATTCTGATGGTGCAATTGCTCTTCATATGCCATGGGAAAGAAATTCTCGACGGAGCATCGTAGGCGGTAGTGATTTCTCACCCACAGCTGCTTCCTTTCGATCAACAGAAATAGGTCTCAGCGTCTCAGCGATTGATGATGACCAGTTAGATCGTTACATCCTTAGGTGACGTAAGTTAATTTCTTAAAAATTAACTCTGCTTGCCTTTGTGGGTGAGTGGCTCACCGATACGAAAATAAACATTCTGACGTTTCTGTCTAAAATGAAATTGTGACGTCCCCTTCAGTATAACCTTCTCGAATATGATAACGGAGAGAAAGCATTTTATTATAAGGACAAATAATCCTAAATTATCGAAGAAATTGTAGTCTACGAGCAGTCCCCTTTTTCAGCGAGTACGTCGCACTTGTCCATAAGAGCGGTGAAAGAAAAACTTGATTGTAATCCGTAGTCACTTAGACTTTGACCAGTGTTAAGCCCATAATTTCTTTCTTGTCCCAGACCCTTATGAGCATAAAAATATTTTTAAAAACATCGTTGTTGTGAAAAGATTAAAAGATTGAGATTTTTAATAATTCATGGACATCTGCTGGGAAATAAAAGTTCATTTTATAAGAAAAGGAATAAGAAATAAAAACAACGCCGATATGTAAAGAGACCGAGACATCTTTTCGCATTGTGTGAAAACTTTTTTAATTTGTGGCGAAACCTGCACACGAGAGTTCTTCTATCTCATTTAGATTACATGTTAATTACTTCCTAGTATTGTATCTTTTATCACGCTGCGAACGAATCAAACAGAGTGTTCCCTGCATAAGGTAACGCTTACTTAAAAAGGAATGAACACTTTTTCCCACTTAATTCACTAATGGAACGAGAAAAACTCTGGCAGCGCTGAAACGAGAAGATCTGTACCACTGACATTTGGGTTCTATAATTAAGGAAATACATAGAACATAAGGGGTCGACTTTTCTCAGCAAAGGCCTTTAGCTCTCTACACGCTCCATCAAGCGGCGAAATTAGTTCACTGCTGTTCAACAAGACATGAAAACAGCTATCAAAGACAAGATTTTCGAAACCTCGGGTGTGGGACAGGCACCTAGCAAGGACTTCTTTCATTTAACTGTGACGAGGGAATCGGTTATCTGGCGCTCGTGGAGGATAACTTTGAGAAGTAACAAGTCCTTGCCGGGCGAAACAATTCAGTCGTGGGACGAGTTCGTAAATAACTCAGGGGGTACCCGGCTTCAGGGAGAAATAGAGCGAGTATTTGGAGTCGAGACTTTGAACATTGTCCTCGCCATAGTGACGCAAGCTTGGTTACCTTACTTGAAAAGTGATATTCTGGTTAAAATTCTTGTTCGACTCGATCTTCGTGACATTATGCGGCTTGCGCAGGTAAGATCCTTGTAACTATCACAGTGGCCATGAAACAAAGTGTTGTATCAACCCATGCTTACGCGAGACAAACAGACTTGCAGCCAATAAGTATGACAGAAACATTTGTGTAAAGTTGAGATCGATCAAACATTGTTATCTAAGATGAATACAACTATCGAATCAACAGTGCGGGGAAGTTTGTATCTTCCAGTAGAACCCATGGCACTGCAAAACAATTTCAAAGAACCCTGATGGTGGGAAATTAATATGCATAAGCAATCATCAAAAGATGAAGTTTGGAATTTTATGCCGTATTTCAGCGATGAGTTTATTTCTTGTCAGTAAACTA